TTTTTCAAAAAGCAAGTTGATTCTGCAAATTAAAGTCCATTTAACATTAAGTTGATGTTAGGGCAATATTCTAAAAGAAAAAAATTAAAAGTATATGTTTGCTTAAAGAAGTAGTGTTGAGGAATAAGTCATGCCTAGGGAAGCAACCTTGTTTGGTTTATTTGATAGGCATTTAGAAGAGCTTTTTTTCCCTTTCCTCTCTGAACCTTTGGAGTCAAATAGAGGCAGATTCAAAACCTGCCACTTAACCGTGTGACCTTTGATTAAATTTTCTTTGCTTTCTCACTCGTAAAATGGGATAAAATACTTACTGGTAAAGATTGTAATGAGGATTAAAGATATTATGTTTATTAAGTTACTAGTACAATTTGTGGTCCCTAGACATTCAAGTTGTAATTGACGATGTATATATCTGTATGTATGTATTTCAAGGGCTACCATGTTTTTTTTGTAATGAACTTATTCTGGTAACTCTAAAAAGTAAAGTAGGGATCAATGAATCGAAAATTTGGGAAGGAACGTGTTTATTAACTATAATGAAAAACTTTGTCGTAACAAAGTTGTAAAAAATTGAATTAGGCACTTTAAAATGGAGACACTCAGTAAGGTAGATACCGAGTAACCACTAATCAGGGATGCTACTGAAGGGGCTTCTACCTTCACAGCAGTCTAAATTAGATCCTCTCACATCCTTTTAACTCAGATTCTGACATGCTCATGGGAGGCTCCTAATTAATGATTTCCTAATAATCACTGAAGAGCCATAGTTAGGGGAAAAGTTGTGTCTGTCAATCAGTTCTCAGGTCACACACTCTGAAGACCAGTGAAAAAAGTCAACCAAAAAAATTAACTCCAGACTATAGAGATCAGAGAGTCTTTGGCCCTTATTTCAACCCCACATAAAGTAGCACAAGAAATCCAAAGAGAACTGTCTACATCTGTGCTGTCTTTACAATGGCTTTTAAAACTGAAGAATTATAAAGAGAATTGACATGACCATCTCTTGTCATTATTATTTGAAAATTATTTAATTGATGTATACGACTAAAACTCTAAATTTTTCTCATGAGAATTACGTGCAGCAGGGAGAACAAAGGACTAATTTTATTTCTCAGTCATATTTTGTATGTTTGGATTCAGTCTTAAAACTGCTGGGTTTTTTCTCCCCAGGTTCATGTCTTCATAAATTTTAACTCCTGAGTAGTGGTTATGAGAATTGGAAGCTTTTAAGTTATGGAAAAGCCATTCGGTGTTTATAGTGTAAGAGGTTCTACAATATGATTAGGTCATATTGTAGAGCTAATAAAGTTAAGTTTAGAGGGTATATCATTTATCTTGACTCAGATGTTCCAAGTGAATATACTTGGTTACAAAGGGATCCTAGCTGGACGAATGTAATTGGATCAGAAAGAAGGAAAAGATAAATCCTGATGAGAGTAAACTTTATGGATGTAACTTAGAGGTGAATTTCTCCTTTTACTGCTAAGTGGATAAGTTATAGAAGCATTAGTACAAAGCTTTTTAAAAATTGGCTTTCAAAATTACAATGTTTAACCACAGATATTCTTGTATACAGAGGGTCCCCTCAAAAACACACATTTTAAGAAAGGAAAAAACTGTATTAAAATTGTAATATTCAATATATACCAATAACAAAAGATGACTACAAGTCATGTCTGACTTCTACAGTTACAGTTACAAAGTGGTCACCATCAGTGTCCAGACACTTCTGATGACAGCAAACTAAAAGTAATACATAGATAACATCTCTTAAAATGTGTATACTTTTTTTTGGTACCCCCAGTATATGCAGGAAAATAGGAAATGCTACTATATCTAGATATGTCCTAATAAAGAAATGAAAAGACCATTTCTCTTCAAGTGTATAATTATCAAACCAAATGGAAACATCAGTTCTTTAGAAACTGTCCATACTCTGTCCTATTCCATGGTGAAGTATTTTAGCATCAAACAGACCTTCTCCACTTGGATATTTAAATACCCTTGCTTTGTTATCCATGTGTGATTGCCAAATTAATAAGGTATTTGGTGTAGCAAAAGATGCCTTAAGATTTTTATTTTTATTTATTTATGTATTTATTTATTTACTGAGTTGGAGTCTCACTCTGTCGCCCAGGCTGGAGTGCAGTGGCCGCTCTGGCCACCGCAGCCTCAACCTGCTGGGCTCCGGCGATCCTTCCGCCTCAGCCTTCCGAGTAGCCGGAATTACAGGCACGCGCTACCACGTCCAGCTGATTTTTTAATTTATTGTAGAGATGAGGTCTCGCTGCCCAGGCGGGTCTCGAACCCGCAGGCTCAGGCAATCCACTCACCTCAGCCTCCCAAAGGCGCGGGATTACAGGCTGAGCCACCAAGCCCGGCTTGCCTTAAGATTTTTAATGTGTAATAGGTTAATCACTGGTGGCATTATTTTCCTTTTTTTTTTTTTTTTAGTTGGAGTCTCATTTTGTCGCCCAGGATGGAGTGCAGTGGCATGCTCACAGCCCCTCCCTAGAGTTGACCTGCTGGGCTCAGGTGATCCTTCTGCCTCAGCCTTCCAAGTAGCCGGAACTACAGGCGCGCACTACCATGCCTGGCTAATTTTTTTTTTATTTATTGTAGAGACAAGGTCTTGCCAAGTTGTCCAGGCTGGTCTCCAACCCACAGGCTCAGGCAACCCCTTGCCTCGGCCTCCCAAAGTACTGGGATTACAGACTGAGCCACGGAGCCCGGTCATTTTCCTTTTTTAAAATTTTAATTTGGGCGGTAGGCTTGCATTTTTCAAAAACAAAAAGATCAGGTACCCTGTTCAAAGTACTGAAATTATATATCTTTTAGTGCTTCCAGATTTACATAATATGAGTCTTAAAATCAAGGCCCTCAAAAGTAGAAACTGTTAAGAAGTGTGGCTTTTAAAGAAACTTATTTTATCTAAGCGTTAACCTTTTCTGCACCTCCTTCATGTGGATTGTAAGCCAGGGAAATTACAAAAATCAAAGATTAGTTGATATTATAAAAGCCAAAACCAAAGCATTACATTATGCACTCTCTTTTAACAGAACCAAGCAATACATCACACTGCATATCCCTTAAACTATTTTAACTGAAGTTTGACAGCTCATGCCTTGAAGGTTTTTTGTTTGTTTTGATTTGGGGCCTCACTCTGTTGCCCAAGTTGGAGTGCAGTGGCAGTCAGCTCACCACAGCTTGGACTTCCTGGGCTCAGGTGATCCTTCCACGCCCAGCTAATTTTTTACTTTTTTGTAGAGACAAGGTCTCACTGTGTCGCCCAGGCTGGTCTTGAACTCCTGGATTCAAGCAGTCTTTCCGCCTTGGCTCCCAAAGTGCTGGGATCACAGGTGTGAGCCACCATGCCCAGAGCTGTCTTAGAAAGGTTTTTTTACATTTGCCATTGAATCAGTTGTTCCTAAAGTGTGGTCCCCAGGTCACAGCATCAGCATCTTCTGGGAACTTACTAGAAATGCAAGTTTCCAGGCCTTGTCTCAGAACTTCTGAATCAAACTCTGGGATGGTGCCTAGCAAGCTGCACTTAACAGGTCTTCCAGGTGATTCTGATGCATGTTGAAACTTTGAGAACCTGTCAGGTGTGGTGGCTCATGCCTTTGATCCCAGCACTTTGGGAGACTGAGGCAGGAGACTCACTTAAGCCCAGGAGTTTGAAACCAGCCTGAGCAACATAGTGAGACCTCGTCTCTATTTTTAAAAAATAAAATAAAAAAGAAACAAAGAAAAGTAAGTTGGAGAAACAGTGTGCTAAAGAATGAATTTTTTTTATTTTTCTGAAAAAAATAAAAGTACCCAGAAACCTTTGTACTACTCCCTAGTGGAAAGGCAACTTATCATCCTCCTATGTACTACAAGCTCCTCTTATCTGTCTCTTCCTTCACTGGCTAAATATATTTCATCACATGTGCTACATGGTTTTGGAGCTTTAAATAGGCCTCAGCATTGCATTATAGAGCTCCAAGATGTCAACGAGAGAACATCATGCCTTCATTCATGTCACTACTAACCCTGCCAGTCATAACATGCTCAAATGATTTTCAGTTCATGTCAGCAGGTAAAGAAAGTTGATGGGGGTCAGTTTTCTCTGGGGTATCATAACAATTGAAAATGGAAACCACAAGTAACTAATTTGTCAGAGTAGCAGCTGGAATATTAAAAAGTACTGAAATGAGAAATTGAACATCAGGCAGGAAATCCATAATCAAATAGGTTATGGTAGGAAGATGAGAGGACTAACTTGAAACTCAGGTCTGGGTCCAATATGGGTTTGAGTAACAAAAGAACTTTATTCTTCTGACCTTATGGAATCCTTCAGTAATATTTGTTAAAGCTTACATTCATAGCAGTTTTACGAAGAAATGTTATCTTCTGAAGAAGAAAACGTCTTAGCCTCTAAACTTAAAACAAAGCCCTGCTTCTCAGCCATAGAATACAACTTTTTACTCATATCTGTATCACCAACTCAATGGGAATTTTGAAATATCAAGTAGATTAACTTCAGCTTTTTCTTCATTCAGTGGGCTTTCATTGACATTACTCTATCTAAATGCGTGATGATGTATATAATATGTTAGGATACCTGTTATCCTAAACTCAAATGTTATTTTTAAAATTTACTGTGGCTAAACACCACAAGATACAAAAACTTAGAATTGCATATGGGTAAGTTGCAATGAAGAAGAAATTTCCAGGGGTCTTTGGAAACCTTATCAGAATATGCATGTTATTATTTTTTTTTAAATCTATGAACCTGTTGGTTTAAGGACAACAAAGATCTGAGTGGATAATATCTACCCACATTCTTTATTACATTAATTATAATACTATATATCTGCATTCCTGCAAGATTTTGAAGCACCTAAGTTAATTTTAATAACTGGGTATATTTGTTCTTTAATACATTTGAGTTTAGAAATGAAGCTTACAGCAGTCAGTGATAACCTTAATATATAATGTTTTCTTATTTCAAACAGCTAGTTAAAGGCCTTCAGCAAGAGCTGAATCGATTATATTCCCTTTTCTGTTCTCGGAATCCAGACTTTGAAGAAAAAGGGGGTAAAGTCTCAATAGTGTCACATTCCTTGGGATGTGTAATTACTTATGACATAATGACCGGCTGGAATCCAGTTCGACTCTACGAGCAGTTGCTCCAAAAGGAGGAAGAGTTACCTGAGGAGCGATGGATGAGCTATGAGGAGCGACATCTCCTTGACGAGCTCTATATAACAAAACGACGGTATGTGCTCCTCTTGTGGAAGAACTTTAAATGACCTTATGGGTGAGATGACTGAACCCCTTAGCAGATTTCCATGATAAGGAAAAAATACCTTGTTCAGGCACAGAGATGACTAGATAGTATGCCTAACTAAGCTAAAGACTGCTCATTTTCATGCTAATTGCATGCATTTTCTTGTAGCATAAATAAAGTTTGGTTATTCTCTTTTTTTCTTCTATCTTTTCATCACATTTTGTTAAGCATGAAATCTTAAACTTAAGGTTTCAAGACCAAGCTGAGTCACTGCATATAATCTTATTGAAAATGTTTACCAGTTTGTAATCCTTTGTAGTGATTTTTAGAGGTGGGTCTCATTCTTATTCTGAAAATAATTTTAAAACCCTTTTTGTTTTTCTTGGCAAATGTATTTTTTTGCTATGCTATATATATAAACATACTTTATGTGTTACATAATTATAAGCAGATTTTATGATTATGAGATCCTTTCTGGTGTTCCTGGTACTCTTTTAATTCTTTTCTCCATCCCTATCTTCGTCTATGTACAAGGCTCGTTTTTGTCCTCTTAATGACACAAGTTTATCTGATCAATTCTGATACAACAGTGAAAAATCACTCACTCTGAAAACTTAGTATCATGTAAAAACAGCCAAATGGACTGACTAAAAGTTTTACTCAGGAAGCCTTGGTTTTGTTTTAGTCTTATAGAAGTTGCCTAAGGATTTCATTTAGAGTCATATTGAATAAGCTAGATTCATAATTATAGTGTTGAAATAATTGATAGTTTTGAAATAAAATGTCATCTTTAGGAGGCCTCAGAGCAGCATTTTAGATGTATAAATCCAGTAAAACTCTTTGGAAAAACAGGTTTAGACATTTGTCTTTGTAACCCCAGCACTTAGTGTCTGGAGCTGGGGAGGAGTTCAGAAAGTCCTTGTTGATTAAAGGATGAAGATGTTGGCAAGGGGGAGGGTTAGGACACTGTCATGAGAAAAAGAAATAACCCACTCATTCAACCGCAGAGTAGAGTTAAACTGTGGCTGTTCCTCATGATGGACAGTTACACAGTTATAAAAATTGAAGTAGATCAGGAGGCAATGAAATGAAAAGATCTCTAATCTTTTTGAGTATAGAAAAAAGTCATAGAACAGTGTATCTGGCATTAACCACTTGGTGCAATTTTTTTAAAGGTATAGTGTGCTTGTATGACAGCAGGTATCATGAGGAGTAGGGGTACTTTTACTAACTGTTTCATAAATTTTTAATATATTTTCAGTACTACAGCAGATGGATTTATTAATTACTGTCAACAGGGATTGATGTGAGGGATTGATAATGGTTCATCATTTGCATCTTTATACTTTAGCAAACTAGTAAGCATCTAATATTTGTGAACTTATTAATACGTGTGTGTATACACCTTACTAGGCTGAGGGAAATAGAAGAACGGCTACATGGATTAAAGGCATCATCTATGACACAAACACCTGCCTTAAAATTTAAGGTAAGGAAAGAGTGATGAGTTTTTATTATTTATCTCAGTACTTTTAAAAATATCATTTGAAGCATGCCTTTAAGGATTAAATGAAAGTTTAATTATTATTCTTTCAAATAAATATTTATTGAATATATACTGTGTATCGGGCACTGCTAGTTTCTGGGTACTACAAAAAAAAAGAATAGACAAGACAGTTCCCCATCCCTCAGAAAGTATAACACAGTATTATTGGTGCTATTAGCAGTATACAGAACACTGTATGCACAGGAGAGGGAGGTTTTAATCTTGCCTGCAAAGGTTTACAAAGGAGTGAATGATGTTCATACTTGATATTTATACTTGATCTAAGTAAATGAAATATTGCCAAGTGAAAGAAAGAGAAATGCCATTTTGTGTAAAAGGAATACCATAAACAAAGGCACAGAGGGTTGTCATTTCATAGGACCCCAAGAAACACCAAATACTCTGGAGTCATGGTAAAGACAAATAGAGACAGAACTGGGAAATAGTTACCATTTAGAATTAATGAACTGTGATGACCACTAGTTGGCCAGTAGTGAGGAAAAATAAGAGGAAGTCTATCAACAATGAATCCAGGGATAGACAAGCTGGCATTTCAATGAGTGAAAAGTATATGACAGAGTGAGCAAATTAATTTGGCTAAAATATTTGAGACTCGGGAGGGAGGCTGAGAGCGGAATAACTAGAAGTCAGGCACTTAGATTTGGTATGGACAGTGGGAAGCTTTTCAGGGCTTCTGAGTATCCGAATGACCTGTGAAAAGTGGTGGTTTAGGAAAATATAAGGTGGCAGAGAGATGTCGACATTAACTAGACTGCTGGAAAAGACGCACCCTATAGCTGAGTAACAGTCTGCAGTGTTAAATGGGGGATGTCATAAGTTTCCAATACTTATTTCCTGTTGAATATGTGCTCATGTCTAGTGTACTTTCTTGCCTTTTCTTGAAATGTGTTTCTTTTGTCACAAGAACTTAACACGCAGATTAAGATGTAGAATGATGTGGAAATTTTTTTAAACAGTGAAAGTTTGTTTATTGAATCTGTCTGCATGGCCTACAATAGTGTGTTTTTTTAAAAAAACATATCATCATACATGTAAAAATCATATGGTAAGTTAAAATATACTTTTAAGCCGGGTTCGGTGGCTCAGCCTGTAATCCCGCGCCTTTGGGAGACTGAGGTGAGTGGATTGCCTGAGCCCACGGGTTCGAGACCCGCCTGGGCAGCAAGACCTCATCTCTACAGTAAATCAAAAAAATCAGCCGGGCGTGGTAGCGCATGCCTGTAATTCCGGCTGCTTGGAAGGCTGAGGTGGAAGGATCGCCGGAGCCCAGCAGGTCGAGGCTGCGGTGGCCGGGAGCAGCCACTGCACTCCAGTCTGGGCGACAGAGTGAGACTCCAACTCAAAAAAAAAAAAAAAAAAAAAAATATATATATATATATACTTTTAAAAACTATAGCCGAGCACAGTGGCTCAAGCCTGTAATTCCAGCACTTTGGGAGGCCAAGGTGAGAGGATTGCTTGAGCCCACAGGTTCGAGACCAGCCTGGGTAACTTGCCAAGACCTTGTCTCCACAACATATCAAAAAATTAGCCAAGCGTGGTAGTGCGCACCTGTAGTTCTGGCTACTTGGAAGGCTGAGGCAGAAAGATAGTTGGAGCCCAGCTGGTCAACACTGGGGTGACCATGAGTGTGCCACTGCACTCCAGCCTGGGTGACAGAGTGAGACTCCAACTCAAAAAAAATTAGTTACCACTTTAAAAGCCATAGACGCATCTAACCTGGAATTTGAGTTCTATTTCTACCATCTTTATTATTTATAATTAATGCTAAATATATAGAACTGATCTGTTAGAAGAGATAAATTCTTCCATTTTATGTTTTGAGCTTTTTATTGGAGACTTGGGTATGATCCACTGAGTATTAGGATCTCAAAATTCAATATCATATTATGAGAACTTATGCAAAATAATTATTTATCCTTCTGATACACAGTCATATAGTCTAATATGGGTTCTTAATTGTTATTTAATTACTCAGAAAAAATGCAGAAGTCTTAAAAAGGATTATCTGATGAATTGGCAAATTATTATTTAGGACTTCAAGGCTCTAAAGGGAATAGAAGTCTTTCCATGCTTGTTAACCAGGAGATGGATTTACTTTCAGAATAAAGTGTTAGATCTATCACAATTGACCAGTGAACTTTAGAAAAGAAAAACAATATTGACAAAGTGGAGAATGGGAAGCTTTCTGTTCTAATCCTGAGGCTTTGTTACTAATTAGTTATGTGACATTAGCCAAATCATTTAACCTCTGAACATATCTGTTTACTAATCTCCGAACAAGAGGATTAGACTAAATATCTACAGCTTTTTTAAAAAAAATTTTTGATGGACGCAGATCTCTAAAGCAGACGTTTCCTTATCTGAGAGAATAATTCTTCTGTATGTTTCTCTACTAAACTGAAATCTCGTTATAAAGAAAAGTTGTTTATTCCATGGATATAACAACTTAGCAAATGCTTACAGTGTGTCTGACCAATGCATAAAGCATAGGTTGGGTATATATGTGTGTATGCACTTTTGTATATCAAGCAGGGAGGATTTATACAGTTTTCTCTAAACTGTTTTTTGCATCTTTCTCTGTTCTTTTTTCTTCACTTTGTAGAAGAATGATTTTCTTTCAGAAATCAGTATTTTCACGTGTCCCTGTTACTTTAAATGCTTTTTTATATTTTTAATTTTTATTTTCACAAGTCTTCCTCAGCTTTCAAGCATGTTAGTCACCCAGTCTATTAAAAAAAGTATCATTACATTAGAGGTCAAGCCTGTGACGAGCCATGATGGTGCCACTGCACTCCAGCCCTGGGTGACAGAGTGAGATTTCAACTCAATTCAAAAAAAACAAACAAAGAAAACAAAAAATAAACCAGGTTCTTTCTTGCCTTGGCTTTAGTTTATGTGGTTCTGTCGGTCTGGAATATCATTCTTTCCATCTCCAATGTCCCACCCTCAACTGTAGAAATCCCTTTCATCTTTTACTGACCAGTACAAATGCTATCTCCTCTGTAAATCCCTCAGAGTTGGAATTATTCTTTTCCTCACTCTCTTCTGGCACTCCTGTTATGCACTATTTTATTTTGCTTCTCCCATAGGATTGTAAACTCTGAGTGCAGAATCTCTACCTTATTGGTCCTTATTGTTATTTTTTCCATCACAGCACCACGCATATTACTCCACACAGAGTAGTAGCTCAGTCTTTGATTAGTGCATAGAAACACACGGTGAAATGATTCTTTTCTTCCTCCTTCTCATCTTTAGCTTCTGTTAGATTTAAAGATAATGAAATTGCTCCTAGAAATAGATTATTTTAGAATAGTTATGGTTGGCATATAACTAACAAATAATGCAGATACCATCTGGACATAGCTCATTTAAAAATATAAATAATTGAAGATAATTGTATTATTTGCATTTTACAATATATTATGCTGAAATTCTGTTGAAAAATAATGCTTCACTTTTTTTTTTTAATGTAGGATGACTTTATCATTTCAGGTTGAGAATTTCTTCTGTATGGGGTCCCCACTAGCAGTTTTTTTGGCATTGCGTGGCATCCGCCCAGGAAACACTGGAAGTCAAGACCATATTTTGCCTAGGGAGATTTGTAACCGGTTATTAAATATTTTTCATCCTACAGATCCAGTGGTGAGTTGCAATGTAGACTTTTTTTCCTCAGTATTAAATTATATCTAAAGGAATATATAAGAATCCTTGTGGCCAGGCTCACCCATAATCCCAGCACTGGCATGAGAGGATGGTATGAGAGGATTGCATGAGCCTACAGGTTCGAGACTAGCCTGGGCAACTTAGAGAGACCTCATCTCCACAATAAATCCAAAAACAAATTAGCCAGGCATGGTGGCACATGCCTATAGTTCTAGCTACTTGGAAGCCTGAGGTGAAAGGCTCGCCTAAACCCAGTGGGTCGAGGCTGAGGTGGCCATGAGTGTGCCACCACACTCCAGCCTGGACGACAGAGTGATTCTCCAACTCCAAAAAAAAAAAAGAAAAGAAAAGAAAAAGAAACCTTGCAAGGTACCATTGAATTAACCAAAAAAAATTGTATTTAATTATTAAAACATTGTGTTTTGGTTACCTATAAAATACAAATACCTTAGAGAAGTGATCTGTTTATGTTGTACTTGTAAGACAAGAACATAATGTAAAAATATTATTCCTGGACATTATTGCAAGAAACAGGAGTCTACTGGACTTTCAAACCTTAACCAGTTGTAATACAAGTAACCTAGCAACAATAAATCTTAAAAATTCACTTTAAATACTCTTTTCTCTAAAGTATACTGCAGTATTTAAGTGTTTTGTAGATCTTTTAAAAATGAAAATATTCAAATATATACTAAACATGAAAAGATAGGACTTTATTTTAGCCTAGTAGAAATGGCAAATATTGGATTTTTCCATTCTCTATTATTTTTGTACTGTAAATAATTTTTTTTATGCAAGCATTCTACAGTGTAATTCCAAATAAGATTTTTAGACAAGAAAATGCCTTTTTCCCCTCCCTTTTTTTTTTTAAAGTTGGAGTCTTACTCTGTTGCCCAGGCTGGAGTACAGTGGTACATTCACGGCCACCCTGCATCGACCTGCTGAACTCCTGACGATCCTTCCACCTCAGCCTTCTAAGTAACTGGAACTACAGGCGCAAGCTACCATGACTGGCTAAATTTTTTTTTATTTATTGTAGAGACGAGGTCTCTCCAAGCTGCCTGGGCAAGTCTTAAACCCGTGGACTCAGGCAATCCACAAGTCTCAGCCTCCCAAAGTGCTGGAATTACAGGCTGAGCCATTGAGCAAGGCCAAAAATGCTTTTTAAAATCCTTTAGGAGACAAGACTAGGTTTAACTAAATATTAAAACAAACTACTTTAAATAATATTTTTTCTCTGAAAAATAGTTTCATATAATTGTGTAAGGTCTTTTAAAAGGTCCACTCAGAGCCGGGCTCGGTGGCTCAGCCTGTAATCCCAGTGCTTTGGGAGGCTGAGGTGAGTGTATTGCCTGAGCTCGCAGGTTCAAGACCCACCTGGGCAACTTGGTGAGACCCCATCTCTACAATAAATCAAAAACTAGCCGGGTGTGTTAGTGCATGCCTGTAATTCCGGCTACTAGGAAGGCTGAAGCGGAAGGATCGCCGGAGCCCAGCAGGTCGAGGCTGCGGTGGCCGGGAGTGGCCACTGCACTCTGGTCTGGGTGACAGAGTGAGACTCCAACTCAAAAAAAAAAATTAATTAATAAATAAAATAAAAATACAAGGTCCACTCAGGCTGGGCTTGGTGGCTCAGCCTGTAATCCTAGCAATTTGGGAGGCCAAGGTGAGTGAATTGCCTGAGCCTGTGGGTTCAACACCAGACCAGCCCAGGTAACTCGGTGAGACCTTGTCTCTACAGTAAATAAAAAATTAGCTGATGTGGTAGCTCATGCCCGTAGTTCTGGCTACTTGGAAGTCTAAGGCAGAAGGATCGCCTGAGTCCAGCAGGTTGAGGCTGCCGTGGCCTGAGTGTGCTACTGCACTCCAGCCTGGGCGACAGAGTGACACTCCAACTCCAACTACAAAAAAAAATGTCCACTCAGCTAGTACCAAATAAATACATTATTGTAACAGTTGACCATTAGAATTTTAGAAAATGTCCCATATGTTAAAAACTCACAACTGCTCTAAGAAATAAACTTCACTCGACTGGAAATCTGTTATTAGATTCAAATACAGACTGCACAAACCTGTTATTTCTGAGACTATATCTTATATATGTGATGTAGATAATATTTTGCCTCCTAGCGTTAGGAATGACTAAAATATATGTGAAAACACCAAGCTAGAAAGTAAGCACTTAATTAATATCCACTTATTTTATTCATTTTCTAATAACTTGAAAGTGACCTTGAATTCATAGGTGAATTCTGAGCCCTGTCCTTTGTACATCTTAAAATTTATTGTAACAACTCATAAGTTTTAATTATTCATTTTATATTTTTTCTGATTTTTTAAGTTAGTACTTTAATAGTTTATAACAAAACCGTGCAAGGCAGTTTTTACCAGCATTATCTGTTCCTCCTCACGTGTCTACAGGAGAGGACATGTTATCTTCTTTCTATAGCTCAGGAAACTGAGGCTTTGAAATCTTTGACCTAACAAACATCATACAGTTAATAAGTGACAGAAGCCAGAATATGAATTTAGGGAATTCTGATGTCACATTCATTGCCTTCTATGCTGTTTCATATCTACTCGATATTAGACAGATGGTCTTACATTGGCGTCTAATTTATGCGGTTATTGTATAAGTCTATTTGGAAACAGTTTAGTAAGAACTTCTAAAATATTAAAATTAGCCTTATTTGCTGTTTTCCAGATTACTGTCTGTAGTTCAGCTTTGTTTGTGAGACTAATATAAATCTAATTTTTACCTGATGTAAGAACGGGATGAAAATTAATCTGGGCTGGGCATGATACCTCACACCTGTTATTCCAGCACTTTGGGAGGCCAAGATGGGAGGATTGCTTGAGCCCAGGAGTTTGAGAACAGCCTAGGCAACATAGCGCGCGACCTTATCTCTATAGAAAAATAAAAAAATTAGCCGGGTATGGTGGCACACACCTATAGTCCCAGCTACTCAGGAGGTTGAGGCAGAAGGATTGCCTGAGCCCAGGAGGTCAAGGCTACAGTGAGACATAATTGTGCCAATGCACTCCAACCTGGGCTGCAGAGTGAGAACCCAACTTAAAAAAAAATTAATCTGTTTCTCTGAAAAACTAATAGACACTATAAGCCTAGACTTTTTCATAATCTCATCATTAGACCAACCACATATTATTATTATTATTATTATTATTTTATTTTTTTGAATTGGAGCCTCACTCTGTCACCCAGACTGGAGTGCAGTGGCATGCTCCTGGCCACCGCAGCCTCCACCTGCTGGGCTCTGGCAATCCTTCCGCCTCAGCCTTCCAAGTAGCCGGAACTACAGGCACACGCTACCACGCCGGGCTAATTTTGTTTGTTTGTTTGTTTTGGTATCACCTTCCATGGAAAACCAATTAAAATATGAGCACATTTATCTACAAAACCCTTGTAGGCTAGGAAAGCTTGGATACCTATCTTCAGAGTCCTAAAAGATAAACAATTTCAACCAAAAAACCTACCCAGCCAGATTAAGCTTCATCAGCGATGGATAATTAAAATCT